AATAAAAATATTGACATTATTATAAATTGAAAGATTTTATGTATAAATTAAAGGATTTCTTAAACAAATTCAATCACACATCACCACAAATGTGAGTCTCAATAAATCAGCAAAAATAAAGTCTAAATTTAAAAAAGATATATATTTTTTAATGTATTATAAATAAATAATTAATTAATTTAATAACTAGTCAGACCGAGTTGGGTTGAAAGTATAAATCTCAAGCACAATCCATTAATATTTTAGACTAAAAATATTGGCCCAACCTGATCCTATGAGCTAAAATAACCTTTCCAAACCCTTAAAAAATAGGCCTGAACCGAACGGATCAACGGACCGATATCCATTCATAGTTTTAACTATGATAGCTCTAACTCGTGACCTTTTGAAAAGATACGCAAGTTTTATCCATTGAGATAACCAAGACCGAGCCTATTTGGTTGAGTCACACAGACATTCCTGATGTGGATGAATCGAACCTAACCTAGCCAAGACTTGACCCAACTGACCCAACTCGCCATATTATCTAGAAGATGAAAAATTTGCATCATTGGATGGGCTTCCTAATGATCATTAATTTGCTACAATCTTAGACTTTGGGCTTCAAATTTTAGTTAGGAACTTTGAAAGCATTTAACTTCCTTGGTGAGATGTGAGAACAATTTTTTTGTGCATGCTTGCCAGAAAATGAGCTTCACGCATCTTATGGAAGTTGAAATGGGTTCAACTGGAACTGCCATGGGTCATGGCATCAATTAAGTTGGTAAATGCAGAACTGCTCCACTGACAATCGCTAAAGCTTTGTTGGGCTCTTGAATTTGTAAGATTCGGGGTGTCTGTTATGCCCTCAGCACAGGCACTGCTGTGCTGTCCTAAGGGCCCATTTTGAGACTCGTTTTGATAATTTGGACCATTCACATTTTAGAGTACATCGAGTAAAACATACTTGTAAAAAATCAAGTTAATCAAATATCGTTAACCCTTTCATCCTCTGACATTTGTATCTACAAAAATAAATGACATTGTGATTTAAAGTATCCAAATGAATAAATGTGAGTGGATGAAAGGGTTAACAATATCCAATTAACTTGATTTTTTGTAAGTATGTTTTACTTGATGTACTCTAAAATGTGAACGGTTCGGATCATCAAAACGGATCCCGAAATAAGCTCATAGGGCAACACAGCAGGCATCCCAGATCCGAATTTGTAAAGAAATTTGTGGAGAAAAGTAAAAATGGAATTATAGCGATCCCGGGTTTACCCTTGTTGTACAGTGATCCAGACACGTGTCCGTGGATGTTGGTAGTTGTTTATTATCTTGTTTGCATCCTTTTTACTTCGTATTTGAGTTATAGGATGTGTTGGGCAGGTTTGTTACAGGTTGGTTGTGTTTGGGAGCCTAGTGTTGCTGCCCAGATTTCTGGACCTTCGCTCGAGCGAGGAGTTGGTCGCTCGAGCGAGAGTTGGGTTTGTGTCTGGTGGGTCGAGCCAGAGTGGCTTCGCTCGAGCGAGCGCTTGCACCTGGTTCTGGACCTGAGAGTTGCATTTCTTGGCTCGAGCGAGCTTTTCTTGGCTCGAGCGGTCTGGTTTGTTCTTCGCTCGAGCGAGGAGTTGGTCGCTCGAGCGTGCTTCTGGTTGCAGACCTGAAGGTTTGAGTTTTTGGCTCGAGCGAGAGTTTCTTGGCTCGAGCGAGGGTTTTCTGTGTCTGGTCGCTCGAGCGACCAAGTCTTCGCTCGAGCGAGCGTGTTTTATATCAGCGGACAGTAGCGATTTTGAACATCACTTTTTCATCTTTTCTTTTTATCAAACCCTAGATCCGAGACCCTCTCTCTCTACACTTATATTCTCTCTAAGAATTGATCTCCCTAGAGTGTGGATTCTCGCAGGGCCTTTATTAAAAAGAATAGAGGGCATGTGAGCTTTGATTTAATCTGAAAAAGTTTGGATTTGGAACACGTTGATCTTCGAGTCTTCATCTCCTTTTTGGCTCAAACTTCGAGGTAGGGATATCCTACTCCTCTCTATGGATTTTGTCTTCAAATTTTGTATTTTGAGATGTTGGGTGGTTTGGTGATTTTGTGAAAGTTTGGGGCTTTTGTGCAATTTTACAAAAGTTGGGGTTTATTCATAATAAACCTGAATGCATGTTTGGCATTGAGAAATGGAATAAATGTTAAGTCATTGATGAAAAGGGACCTAAGGGTTGAAATGGTAATTATGGATAATGACCTAATTACATTGTTTAATTAATGGGATAATTAATTGTGAGAAATGAGGAAATGAAATGTTGATTGAATATCCATTGTGCATTTATTTTCTGTTTAGAAATAACTGCTTTGGGCTATCGGTGGAGGATAGTCGTGATTGTTGTAGACAATGCATGATGATTAGGCAAACGGAAACTAATCAATGGAATGTGTCATAGAAGTTGACGGTTGATAGAATACATTAACTTTATGTATTGAGTGTTTGTATATAGAACCAATTGGGTGTTTATATATACGTTATGTGTAGAGGAGGAGATGGGGGATGTACTCCGCGGTTTAGGGGAAGATGGGGGATGTACCTCTAAACCGGATAGTGTTGGGAGAAGATAGGGGATGAACTCCGTAGATACAGCTCTTATGCTTATCTAGAGAAGTGAAGATAGAGCTCATATGCTTATCTTTGTGAAGTGTGGATATAGCTTATATGCTTATCTGTGGATATTGTTGTTATACATATCTGTTGAGCATGTGGGTAGTGCTTATATGCCTATCTGTTGAAAAAGGGAAAATGAAAAGTAATTTGGACTCATAAGTCGTGGGACATAAATATGTGATTTATGTGGTTGTATCAGTGTTAGCCATCTATCAATTGCTATTATTTTAGTCATTGTTCATGGTTGGTTTAGTGTATTTCTACTGGGCTGTGGCTCACCCTATATGGGAATATCATTTTCAGGTACAGGAAGCATGCCACCTCCAAGGACATAGCTTGGGAGGCTAGAGGCGGACATACTGTTGTCGCTTTAGTTTTTGATGTATTACATGTAAACTCAAGCCAATGGCTTAATGTGTATGAGTTAGTACTCTTTTGTTGTAACCAAGTATTAGCTTGGAAAGATGTAAGCCCGTAAGGCATTTTGCTTTTGTTGTTAACATGTAATACTTATGTAATGAAACTCTCATGAATGGAAGAATATGCTTATTTCTTATTTCAATAAACGTCTCATTTGATGGGTTTAATGTTATTATTTTGAGGGCGTTACAGGAATGATATGTGAAAGGAAAAAAAATAGTTTCAATTTGGGTAAATTACACTTTGCACTAAATCTGTGACGATCCCGCCACGTAAAATATTTTATGTTTAATTAATCAAGGTGATTTAGATTTTAATTAATTATTATTCTGATTTAATTGGGGAATTTATGAACAATATTGGGGTTGATTCGTATATAATTTTATAAAAGAGTTATTTTAGAATTAGAGATTAAAAGCTTAAGTGGCTCAGGAAGGTAAAATTAACGAATTGAAATATTTTAATTTTGAGTATCAAACCATATGGGAGTTTAATTAAATATTCGATTCAATTTAGTAAAATTGAGATTTTATTAATTGGGTTCAAATTGGAGTTGATCAAGTTATGAAGATTAGGAATTGAGATTATTATGAATTCAAGTCATTTATGAGGTGTTCAATTGAATATGTAATTTATTGACGGAGATTTTAAGTTTGATCAGAAATTGAAGGCCTAAATGATTTGGGAAATCAAAATTGATGATGGCAATAAGTTTAATTTAATATTTAGAGCCTTTTGAGAGTTTGATTAAAAATCTAATTTAGAATGGTAAAGATTAAATATAATTAATTGGACCTTAATTGAAGTCAATTCGACTAATCAAATTACGCGAGATTTGTGATTAGTTATGATTAATTAAGATTAATTAAAATTAAGAAGTGATTAATTAAGTTAATGGATAATCAGTGACTAATTTAACTATACTCAACTAATTAACATTGTTGGTGTATATTAAAAGAGAAAAGGTAGGGATCGTGAAATTTTTTTCATGAAAATGATCATAAAAGATTTGTGACCTTTGGATTACCTTGATTAGTGTCTGGTGTTTTATTTTAAGTATAATCCAAGAATCATAAATCTTTCATGATCATTTTCATGAAAAAATTTTCATGATACCTAACATTGTTCTAAAAAAATGTGAGAAAATTATTAAACCTTCAAGTTTTATATGTGTACATGAGGAGAGAGAGTAGGCAACTCTATTTATTATTTGTTGAGAGCATTATTGTGCTTCATATTTGTTTTGGCAGCCGCGAGAGGGAGAGAGAAAACCGTGAGTGAGAGAGAGAGAGAGAGAGAGTTCAATTCTTTAGAACTTGCTAGAAATTTTGAAGAAAAACCAAGGAAGGAAGCTAGGAAAAGTGAAGAAGTTGTCATGAATATACCAAATTGAAGATTAAAGGAAAAGATTTTAAGCTTGAATTTTGTAGAATCCTTGAATTACACTTGAATTAAAGATGAGTTTGGATTCAATTTCATATAATTTGGAAGAAATTAGAAAACAAAGATGAAGAAATTAAGGTAGGTTCATGGTTATGGAAATTAATTATTTTGGGTTTGATGATATAGTCTTGCATAAAATTAAGCCTTATTGTTACATGCATGGGCAAATTCTACAAGTTTAATACTCTAATTAAACATGCATCATAGGGTTTCAAGGTTTTGAGATTTTAATTCATGTTTAAAAGGTTTATGGATTTGAATTTGGGTTTGATATGAAGAAATAATAATCCAAATTAGAGCTATTCTAATTAAAATTATTTATTTTTGATCTTAATTTCATATATGCAAAGTTTCATAACTCCAATTTCATGATTTAAAGGAAAATAGAAAAGGGTTAAGAATCAGTTTCATATAATTTCAAAGAATTAGTAAAAGGGTGAAGGAATTGAATTAAATTCAAATTGTAGAAATTAAATTAGAATTGAGCATTTTTGTCCACACATGGAGTCCAGAAAATATGTGGATACTTGTTTTCAATGCTCAACCCAACAGCTTTGTAATTGGATGCATTATCGGTAACAATCTGAACAACATTTGCTTCTCCAACCTCTTTGATTGCTTTAATGAACAAACTTGCAACATATTCTCCATCTTTACAATTCCACTTGAATCAATAGCTTTGACAAACACTGCTCCTCCTGCAGATGATGCCATGACATTGATGAGAGGACGTTATTGCCTAGTTGACCACCCGTCGGAGAGCAATGAAACCCCTTTCTTTTTCCATGAATCTCTGATAGGTTGCAGCAGCCTATTAACATGCTCTTTTTCTTGGGAAAGCAAGTGGTACGTAGCCTATCATATGGAGTGTAGCCTATCATATGGAGTGTAACCTATCAAGCTGTTGTTTGCTAAACTCTGAGAATACTTTCGGAAGTAAGGTGACCTTGCCAGATTGAAAGGTAAGCCACTTGCATAGAACATTCATGCACATTCGTTGTCAGCAATATCTCTCTGAGCAACATTAAATGACTTGTGCAAAGCACCTGGCAGAGCCATTCCTTTGCGTTTTTTCTATTGTAGGAAGTCTGAGCCTTCAGGTAAAGTGACATATTCTGCTTTTTTTCTTGCATTTAATGCTTGTTGAGCTTTTCTCACTTCAGTGCCATCATGTTCCTTTCTTATAGCTTCAACATCATCTCTTACGGATTTCCAAGGTTCAACTCCATGATTTGGAAGCTTCACCGGATGAGCTTTCACCTTTGTATATGACCCAGTTACTTTTTTGTTGCTATAATTACAAGACCAAGTTCTATTTCCACCTCCACCTGAAGACACATTGAAAACCTTCACATGATTCCACAATGGCTTGTCATCGAACTCTGCTCCATGACATGCTACTGGACGCAAGGTTTTCTTCTACTTGGCTGAAGATTGGGAGGAAGACATTGTCCCCCTATAGATGAAATTAATCTGTAATGGAAGGAAGTTTTGAGAGATTTTTTTTTTGGGCTAAAAGATATGGCCAAAGTCTCTGTTATATGCAGATAAAACTAGTGGAAGGTGGAAAGGTACTTTTGGGAGTTGTTTCTCAGAATGATTAGAGGTTTGTGGCTGGCAAGTAAGGCTTCCAAAGGAAGGAAAGCAATGAAGTCATTTTGTTGATGGAACAAACATGTAGATACAATGATTTTATTTTATTTTTTTATATTTGCAAGGCACATTTAATGTTAATGTCAGTCACTGCTAATGACAACTAAAGAAATGAGTTTTTTATATTTGAAGTACTGTATCAAAGAAATGGCAACCAAGTTAGTATCTTGTTTGGTTATAATTTTAATTTGTTTATGTCTATTGGTTATAGTTTTAATTTATTTATGTCTATTTGGTTATAGGTTGATTGACCAGCAATTCTTACTTTTTAAATTTATTTAATCTAGATACACAAATTATGTACTTTTTATGTCTATTTGGATTAGATGTATCCAAAATATAGGTTTTTTTTGAATATTCTAAAACAAAAAAAAAAAAAAATTAGAGTATTGACTAACTTTTCAAACTATTTGAGGGAACTAACCCGTTTTTTGAAATTGCATATTAAAAATGCGATTTAAAATTTAAATCGCATCTTCAAGATGCGAATTCAGTACAAAATTACATTTTCAAAATGCAATTTTATGATAACATGGACTGCTATCGTGGCAAATTGAAATTATGTATTGTAAATGTGATTTCATTGAAACTGTGAGTTGAAAATGCGATTTCAATAAAGACATGGGTCAAAATTGAAATTTGAAAATCATAATAGGAGAAACCCTATTCATCTCTATTTTCCTTCTATTCATCCCACAACTCCTCTTACCGTTTTATGTAGTCGGTTCATCCATCGCTGCAGCTCCATCTACCCCCGCCTTTAACCCGCACCACCTCCGCCACCACCATCACAAACTAACTATACCACAGGTACCTGCTCTCTCTCTCTCTCTCTATCTATATGAGTGTTGTTCTATTTTTTTCTTTGATGATTTTGGTTGAATTGTGTTACATTTTTTTCTTGGGTAAATTACACTTTGCACCCTTGCATTTTCCACCAAATCTCACTTTGGTCCCTACATATGAAATCATAACAGTCAACTCCCTGTCCTTCTGGTCAAATCCCATTTTGGTCTCTATACATAAAATTATGACAATTAACCCCTTATACTTTTGGTAAAATCTCACTTTGATTCCTATACAAGTATCAATGTCCCATTTATGTTACTCAATTGTTTAAATTTTTAACAAAATCTAGTCATTGACAAGAATGTGACTACGACATGAAGATAAGAAAGGAAAATTATCAACATTTTTCACCAATATACACTTTATTCCCTAATTTACATCAAAATACTACTATATTAGGCTAAAACAAAATGTAGATTGTGAACAATTAAGAAGATGAATTAGGGTTTTGCATAAATTGGAATTACAAAACTCTAATTTTTTACGGTAACACAGTTTTTTGTCTATTCATCTTTTTTTTTCACTTTAATTTCTTTGTCGCATTTTTTTTTTTCCATTTCAAAAGCTTTACTTTCTTTTCTTTTCGTCTCAATTTTTACCATAAGAACTGAAAATTCTAGATTTAGTGCGAAAAATCCTTTTGAAAAATCTAGATGCATTTCGTTTAATGTGATTATCGATTTAGGCAATCCAATTAAAAATTTTATGACCATGATCAATATAGAAAAGAGAGAGTATGAGAAAAATAAATCCACGACACAAGATATTTTTATGTGAAAAAATCACAATTGGAATCCACCAACTTGTGATAAAAAACCACGGACCCTTGGCCGAAGGCATAATCCACTATGCAAGAAAGGTAGTAAAAGAGATATCTTACAAAGGCCAATCCAAGCACACGAGTCCAGTCACCGGCACATGACTTTGCTTAATCTACAAGTACCTCCACAATATTCACTGGATATCCGCCATGGTTGTCAAATCACCACGATGTCAACGATTTCGAAATACACCGAAATCTACAATCTTGGAATCCACCAAGAAGGTTTACTGTTTGAAGATGTGAAGAACTTATTACAGCTTGACGATTGGCTTTGAAGTTCTTAGTTGCTAATGAATCATCAAGCAAATGAGAGCATTACAAGTAATCCTCACTACAAAGTTCATTCTCAACAAAAATAATCTCTCAAAAATAAATCACCTTCATAAAACTAATCTCTCTCAAGGTTGGAAGTATTTAGGAGAGAAAAAATAGAACACTTAGAATATATAAATGTGAGAGATACTCAACAAAACAACCAAGGGGGCCTTTAAATAGACTTGTGCAGGACAAGTTCACGGGATGATCGCAGGCGCAGTCCTATGGTTGTGGGATCGAGGTGCCTTCGCGTGTTGCAGAGCAAACTTCTAGGAGTTGGGACTTTTGGACATAAATTGGTCGCGGGTGCGAAGAGGTTGGTCCTGGGTGCAATTTGTTGTGGTCGTGAGCCGAGGGCTTGGGGTCGCGGGCGCAATGTCTTGATTTCCAAATTGCAGGCGCGAACTTATGGATCGTGGGAGCGACCTGGGCATGCTCCAACAGCTTTTGCAGACTTCTGTTTCAGATTTTAAGACATGTTTTCTTGCATGTTTTTGATAGATCATATCCCCGATAGATAGCTTTCTTTTGGGCTAGAAAATGTCAACAACATCCCATGCTTGTCCACCAAATCTTTGTCAACAAGATTATACTTTTGACAAAAAAAATCAAAGATAAAACTTTAACACATTTCAAGTCAAAGATGACAAACACCATGTGAACCTCTATCTCTTCATCTATGATTTGCCACCAAAAAACTGAGGCAAACAGCCTATCTTTAGCATCTCAATGTTGCCATTTTCAACTCTGAAAATTCAACATCATTATCTCCAAATCTTGATAGTCTTGATCCTCCAATTTTTTCTTGTTCTTTTTGTCATGACTCGAACCTGCCCCGGTAGGTTAAGGTCATAACCGGCCAGTAAGCATAAGATTACCTACGGCCTGAGACAGACCAAACATACATTATAAATAGTAAATGGGCCAAACGGAAGCAGTCTTAAAAATTTTGTCCATTGAGCTGTGCTTATATGTATGCTGAAACATTTCCCACATATGTAAAAAAATAACTCACACCATAAACCAAAACAAACATCTTGTTCATCCAAGATCATACAAACATATGGCCGGCCGAACAAAAGGTCCATATACATAGGTGATCCAATGGATCCATCAAAATAGCAAAAGGGCGTAAAACAAAATAACAAAAACAAAAGTGAGACGTTCGGGCTGACTTCACAAAAACTTAGACTCCTCTCACAAGCTTCACTAAGGCTAGGGTTGGACATCTCTTTGCTCACCTACATACATATAAATAAGAGTGAGCAAAAGCCCAGGGAATAGTACCCAAAGTAAAGAGGTTACATGAATGAAATTCTCTAGTAGGTAACATCTTTGTCAAACACATCAAATGGCCTTAGGCCCATTCATATTCTTAGTAAGTATAACAAATGGCCTCAGGCCCAATTTATTCATATCAAACGGCCTCGGGCCCAACTCATTCATATCAGAAGACCTCGGGCCCAATTCATTCATATCAGACGGCCACGGGCCCAATTCATGCTTATCAGACAGCTTCTGGCCCAATTCATGCTTATACAAAAATTTAGCATATAGAATACTCATTTATAATTTAACAAATCCATGAAACTTATACAGAAGTAGTAGTTGGAAATTAACATACTTCAAATATCTTTACTAAGATATTACTCACAGTGTTCCGTCGATGGATTTGCCCTCGTGCTTGACCCTGCACATTTCGTAACACATTAGGTCACAAACAATTCAATCCGTTCTTAACTTATTTATTTCTCTTAGGCTTCTTTCTTATTCCTTTAGTTCATTTACAATGTTCAATGCATGCCTAAGAGTGCTTAAAAATGAAAGAGAACGAAAAACGGAACATAACATAACTTTTCAAATTTCTAAAACAAGGCTCTCAGCTTGAGTGCAGCTTTGGTCACTCGAGCGGCCTGTAAAATTCTATAAAAGTACTGGTTGCATGCATTTTACGCGCGAGTGAGGAGCCTTGCAAAACAGGGTCCACTCGAGCGCAAGGTTTGACGCTCGAGCCACTATGTAAATCTTTATAAAACATCTGGTCGCCTTCATTTTCCGCTTGAGCGACAACTCCTTCGCTTGAGCGAAGAGGTCGATTTCTAGGTTTTCCAGCAAGCTATTTGAGCTTCAACACACAACTCCACAAGGTGGAACTTACATGATATGGCCAATATGTCAACCATACAACCTCTAACATGATGTAAATGCCAATTTCACAAGATTTGAAGCCCACACTCCCATGAACTCATCACATGATTCAATTATATTAAATTCACTTTCATAACTTCAAAACTCATGCAACAAATCTTATATCTTTTAGGATTTTTCATGCAAGTGAAGTGTAGCTTTTACTCTCATCTCAAATGGTACAATTGATGCTTAAATTCATGAGACTCAACCAAATTAGGCATGTATGCATGATTTGATGCCACAACTTTCATGTTCCAAGAATCATCTTCCAATTATAAGCATGAATCCTTAGAATTGAGTTTCATACCATGGTAATTCTTACATACATGTATCAAATGACTCTCAAACCAACATGAAGTACATGTTTCATGTCCAAATATGCAAATTCATGGCAATCTCTTACATGCATATGTTTATAGACTTCAAATTCATCATACTCATTTTAAATCTTGCCTTTAATCTCAAATTGTCTTTGAAGTCACTCAATTATGAATTAAAACTCATGAATTTGAGTTTAATTACTCATCTAGAAGCTTAAATCTTCCAAATTTTAGCTAGTTCTTGAGTTAATCTTCTCAATCTTCAAACTTCTTGCTCAACTCTCCAATGTTGCCTTCACTCTTTCTCTAAAATCGTCTCTCTCTCTCTCACTCTAGAGTGTATTTTTAGCCATGTTATGAAATATGAGCTCAAAAGAATGATCATAAGTGTAAATAGGCCCATATATATGCTTGCCTAATCAACTTTGATTAAGGCTAAGTAATTATGCTTAATTAATCAACTCAATCTAAATATTTTGATTAGAATCAATTTTTAATCAAATTTCATCATAAGCTCTAAAAATCACACTAATCACGATAACACAATCAATTTCAATTTCTGTAGTCTCTACGGTCTTCAATTTTCAAATTACAGTAGTAAGTTGGATAGATTTTTCTACGGTGAACAGATATAGTTTCAAAAACATAATTAATCACATAA